AGTTTGTTGAGGCAAGACTGAGATTTTCATCATATTCAGTCTTTTTAACACTCCCCTCCCCTTATTAGATACATGTACTCTGCATTCCCATCGCTAAACATCGTGTTTTCATATTTCTTAGGTCTTAAAATGCTGCCAAGTTTAGAGTCAGACAGTYGTGTMGGTATCTACGATGGYACAGATTTTGCTTTTCTGGGCAGCAAATGGAARATTGTCAACCTTCCAAARCTGCTTTGGAGATATGGATTAGACATGTTTACCTTTGATGATTGGGTCAAAACAATGCTCAGAAGCTTTTCAAATATATACACCCTTCAAGCTGAGGGCAAAACTTACCATAATGTTGATGAACTGCTTACAGCTATGGGTGGGAAGGATTTTGTTGACATGTTGAATWGGACAACCAGAGAAGAACTGAGKAAACGTGGTGTCAAAGATTTAACAATTGACGAGATCGCGACAGGTGTCATGAGGGTCAATTATGGACAAGACACGTCAATCAATGCTTTTGCAGGTATTACATTCAATCCAGTAAACATTTATAAAGACAGTGTTCACTCTTTGTGCCTGAGCTCAGTGCTTTTGTTATACTAGGTTTAATTTTATGTTTCTTGTAGGTTCAGTATCTTTGGCAGGTGTTGAAGGAGGTCTTTGGTCTGTAGAGGGTGGTAACTGGAAAGTATGTGAATCTCTTTTGGCTGCTTCAGGTGCAACTGTTTTCCAGGATACCAAAGTCGGTGAAGTAACCAGAGTTCACAACAAAGATAGCAAYGCACTAACCTACTCCATATCCACAGACAAGGGACAAAGAAATAATTACGATGCTGTTATTGTTGCTGTTCCTCTGACAAGCAAAGATAGCTTTTTCCCTTGCACATCTTGTTCAAAATGGCCCCAAACAAGTGACACCARGAARTTCTGGCAGACAGTTGCAACATTTGTACAAGGCGACTTTAATTACAAGCACTTTGGTTTTGATAAAGAAGGTGACGTCCCAGAGGGAATTCTGACAACAGAGAACAAGAAAAATTACTTCAACTCCATTGGCCTACAGCAACCAGTACAAGACAGAGAAAGTACAGATATCAGGGGAAAACCAGTCAGAAAAGTCTTCTCAAGAGAGAGACTAACAGACRAACAACTACAAGAGCTATTTACAGCAAGAAATGAGACCAAAGTAGTTGCRTGGMAAGCMTACCCAGAGCTAAAGCCACAGGATAATTTCAAGTCTTTTGTGTTGGATGATGGGGTGTTTTATGTCAATGCTATTGAGTATGCGGCAAGTGCAATGGAAATGTCATGTGTTGGAGCTAAGAATGCAGCCTTGCTGGCACATCAGTACCAARGAATGAAGAAAGAACAAGAAAAGAAAGATAAAGTAAAGAAAAAGGTATCAGATGAGCTGTAAKATTAAGYTATGACTCTGAGCTGTACATTGTATTTGGCAACTGTATGTTGAGAAGTTAGAAGGAAAGGCTTGCTTGCTTGACTAGAAGAAGGTTAAAAATAAGGTTAAGTCGGGAAAAAGGGTGATCTATTTTCAAATTGTACAATAATTGTTTCTTTTCACTCATATATTATAAAGGGGATCATACTTATCCTATATTTTTGTATTATTAATCATACTTATTATAGCAATCCCACTCTTACAATTTTCCTCAGCCATCCAAAATGGCATTAAAAGAGTGTGCACTTTTCATATATATTAAAAGAGTGTGCACTTTTCATATATAAGAACTGAATTATGTAATACAATTATGTTGATTGTTTTTATGTAGTTGTAGTAGCCTGTTTTTCTACTTTTGGGCCTCCTGTCTTCCGCAAATTGACCGGGAGAGACTGGGGTCCCAACAAAGGATACCAAAGGGATCCCAAAAGTCCAAAATGAAGTGCCGACTGTGGAGGGGACTATAGTTATGGTACCTTATCAATATTATCAATATTCTAAATATTGTACTTTATTATAAATTACTAAAAAATCATTGTAAAAGGTGTGCATATATCTGTAAATGTAATCAATTTCAATTTGTTTTATAAAAAAATATAAGGTGTGTTGAAAGAGGTTCCATGATTTTATCCTGAAATCCAATCTTTTGTCAATCTAACACTGCCCTCATTTCGATTCGTTTTTAATCATAGTTTGTGATATCGTCTGCAGTTGGTTTATACRCCAAAATCTACCATTAATTKGTTGTCTTCWTGTARAGAGRAGGYTCCTATAACATCCCTTTGTTGTCCAGTTTAATGATCTTTGATAATCTCTGACGGATATTTTGTGTCATAAAAATATTTGGGCACGTGTTTTTAATAAACAATGTCTTGGAAATATCCAATAAATGTGTCTTGTCTTTAACTTTAGTATATCCTAATAAATCCATTATAACTGAGCATTCCTGTTCAATTATGCGAATGATTGACAGCTCGTTATGTTTCCTCCAGTGGTTCATAGCAACAGTGAAGTTTTTATTGGTCGAGAAAGCGTAAGCACTATGACCATTTTTGGAATTGTTGCGAAGCCAGTTCAAAACGTCATCGGATTTAGATAAGCCTGTGAACTTGAATAGGTTATTTATGGCACATTCTTGGTGTGTTATAATGTCCTCATAGCGAATCACGTTGTACATGCCATTATAGTCCCTAGATGTCCCTGACTTAAGGTCCTTAAATATTTTCGTGCAAAGACTTCGTGAATTTGATTGATAATCAGAGACTGTCCAGTTCTTTCGAAGCCATTCGCTATCAATGCGGGCCCTTGAACTTATTATGGCCCTAGGGTCACGCACGAGATGGACTATCTTTAGTATATTCCAAGGGTCCTCGATATTTGGTCCCCCAGCGTGTTTGAGTTCATCTAAGTCTTCAATTCGTATACTCTTTAACACAACATGTTGATGTGATTGACAGATGTCAATCAAACTTTTGACGTCCAACCTTTTGCAAGCATCGATATTACGTGAACTTTTCTGGCACATTGATTGCTTTTCGGAAAGCGGACGACTGTATTGTCGGAATGGAGAGTTAGACAACTGACTCACGAAGTAGGGATTCTCTTGGAATCTGCAGGTAAAGATGATTTTGAGAAGATGACGTCTCAAGGTTCTATAGATCCCATGATGMCGCGCGAGCGCCTTTATAAAGTAAATGGGCTCGTAAAGATACAATACATCCTGATGGCGATTAAAGATTTGCCCAACAAAAGATGATCCAGAACGTTTATAGGCCATTAACACAACATTATATCGAAACACTTTCAATGAATTGGTGTCATGATTGGAGTCTTCCGTCTTATGCTGAACCATGTTTGAATACGTTTGAAATCTTCTGCGCATAGTGCTGTCTAGTCCAATTGCTACCTTCTCAAGGCGTTCCAGGGTTGCTCTAAACCCAAAACAGTCCCCTTTGGAAGCCTCGCGTGCGCGCATACCTTTTTTTGGCTGTAGTACATGAYTGACATGATATGTTGGTGAAAGCTGCCTTTGAAAACACAGAAAATCAGAAAGGCATACGATCACAACACACGAGACTAGTAAGTAACATAAATAACGATAAAAACGAGGGCTTGTTGAGGTGTATAGAARATTTCTCCTCCTTCCCAACATTAGCAGACCAAGTCACTTTCGCCGAATCAGTACTTAATGGGGTATGAAAGTTTATGTCTTGAAAAGCGCTTATAAGTGSCGTAGTTGCACCGCAATGATCGTTTGTCATCAGTGATGGTAGACGTTTTATGTCCTTTAGTTACGCTCTGGACCATTCATTGCATTTGTTTCTCTGTAATGAAAAAATACAAATACAAAATGGATTGTCAGTACCGACATGGTAACTATTACGAACTATGTTAATATACAAGTCCGCTAAACGATCCATTCGGTGTTTCCTTGTYTATTTGGTGGTTTTCCATCAAAAGACAGAAATGATGAAAAGAAATCTCGTATTAGTCGATATAGCGAACAAAAGCACATAAAACGATGGGTTTGATAACTCTTAGGTCTCCTATTCTATCACTGCCATCGAGGAAGACAAAGAACTATTCCTACAATTTTACTATTAATAGGTCTTTGTTTCATAGGTTATAAATATTTTCCTTTTTAGGCKKGTTTCAGACGTCGATCTTTTGCCGCGTCTWATTTAATTGCTTACATGCAGTTCTCGAGACGTTTGCAGTTTACATCGATTGATATTCACAGATTATAGTACGTTTGTCCAACTGAACAAAATCTACTAATGTCAAAAAATTTATAGTATAAAATGCTCATAAACTCATCTCCAACAACTAGATTAGATTCGACAAAAGATCGACTGAAAACGAGCCTTAGTTCTTTCTAGAGCTTAAAATGAAATTGTTATAGTGTGGTCATTAAACCCGTGAAACAAAATTTGCCTTTTAAGGTGTGGTAGTGAAATAAACACAAAAGAAAACACATGGCTTAGAGCGTACTAAGGTGGATATTAGTGCAATATCTATATTTCACGGTGTTCGGTTTAATTTCATGAAACGAAGTCTGATAGCACAAGGGTGACAGTCCACTAGTTGACCCCGACAACTGCACATAAAAGGATACAATGGGGTCACAGACTTTCTAAGGTGTATTAGTCTAATTTCTAGTCCTATTTCCGTAGCACTTTTGTATGCATTATCTGGTTTTATCTTGGTGAAATCCGGCAACCATTACGCTAAACCTACAATAAAACAATGTTTGTTTTTGCATATATTGTTAAAACGGCAGTATATTGTCAGATGCATTCTTTTATGTTKTATTCTCCCGTGTGTTTTAGAATTTCTTTCTTTTTCTGATTAGAAAAATAATTTTCTAATCCCCCGTGCGCGCTAARGATGGTGCAAAGTATAAAGCCTTTCATTTCGGCGAGAACTTTCAGGGTTTCTTTCTTCTCTAATTTTGTAATTCTTTGGTTCGTGTTTTGGTATAAGTGGTTACATAGCATGCTTATACCTACCAGACAACTGATTACATAAAATGAGGCATTTTTTCTACTCTAGTTGCAAAAATTAGCCAGCACTCGTCGASAGATCGTAGATGATCCAATGCAAAGGGGCTTCATGGGGTTGTGGACGAAACATGWTTGAAGGCCGTAGCCAGTAATGAAACTTTGTCTTCAAGCGCGAAGACATTCACAATCACAATCACAATGCATCGTTAACTCTTGAAAATCACTGTGAGTAATGCGTGAACCAAGAAAAAATTCTTGTTTAAAGTACGGTAAAAAAAGTTGTCTTGAAGTATCAGGATTGTAAAAACCACACATGTAAAATGCATAATCAAGCGGAATGCTTTTAAAACAACCCTCTTTTGCTAGARTAAGAAAAGATCAATATCATGTGCTTCATGGCATTGCTAGCAAGCTGAAGGCCGTAAAAAGTACCAAATATTGGTGTTCAAGCGTGAACACTAGAGATTCACACGATCACAATGCATAGACTAGTAAAGTACGTCCTCATGTACATTTTATTTGATATGCAGTCACTCTGGTCCTCTCTGGCGGCCATAAGTCTTAAGGTAAAACAATAGAATGTTTTTATGTGACGTCATAATGAAATAGGGCAATAAAGTCTATGTTTTTCTTGTTATGAAAGGTTTTCCTTTTAAAGGGAGCTGTGTCTATAGATACTCATCTTTGACAGAGTCATACATAAAAAGACTCTGATGGATTTATAAGTTTCTTATATGTAAATATTGATGTTSTTAAAATGGTTCAGTCAATGAAACAAAACCAGACAAAAACAATGTTTCTTGATAAACAAAACAAATCGAAGGATTTATAAACAAAATCAATATGAATGTCGTTGAAAATACAAAGATCATAGAAAAAGGATCACATTGATCTTTCAGACAAACTCGTAGAGTCGCAATCTGATTATAATTTAGTCGTTTAATTTGTCTATAAGTTTTGACATTTTGGGGCCACTGGCAAATGAATGTGATACCTGCGGCGAGTGTCAGTTTGAACCGATCAACCATTAAATAATAAGCTGGTACTTTGAAAATCATTGAAACTTGCAGTGAAATATCCGATATCATTTCAAATGTGCTTGCAGATTTATAAMGGTTTAGTGCGAATGAACACTGAATCTATTTAATCCTTTAGTTAATATTTCAAKTGATTTATTGGTAAAGAAACTCYAGTTTCTGTATGAATCAGTGGACGACTAATTGTCCACTTACACGGTGCACTGCTTTTCCTTTGAAAAGTCTACCCACCCATGAAGAAAAATCAAATCCTTCGCTAGTTCTGAAGCTCATTGAGAACTCGGCGTACGCATCCTTACGTMTKGCCTGTTCAACACCCTCTATACTACTTCCTTACCTTAGAATGTCCTTAGTACAATACTGTTTGGGACAAATCTACATTTGATAAACC